TAATTCAATAAAACTAGGAAATACCAACATGTCTACATAATCATAATCCAAACTCTAATCCCACAAAACTAGGAAATACCAACATGTCTACATAATCATAATCCAAACTCTAATCCCACAAAACTAGGAAATACCAACATGTCTACATAATCATAATCCAAACTCTAATCCCACAAAACTAGGAAATACCAACATGTCTACATAATCATAATCCAAACTCTAATCCCACAAAACTAGGAAATACCAACATGTCTACATAATCATAATCCAAACTCTAATCCCACAAAACTAGGAAATACCAACATGTCTACATAATCATAATCCAAACTCTAATTCAATAAAACTAGGAAATACCAACATGTCTACATAATCATAATCCAAACTCTAATTCAATAAAACTAGGGCAGAAACAACAAAATACCAACATGCCTACATAATCATAATCCAAACTCTAATTCAATAAAACTAGGGCAGAAACAACAAAATACCAACATGTCTACATAATCATAATCCAAACTCTAATTTAATAAAACTAGGGCAGAAACAACAAAATACCAACATGTCTACATAATCATAATCCAAACTCTAATTTAATAAAACTAGGGCAGAAACAACAACAATATCAACATGTCTACATAATCATAATCCAAACTCTAATTCAATAAAACTAGGGCAGAAACAACAAAATACCAACATGTCTACATAATCATAATCCAAACTTGAATTCAATAAAACTAGGGCAGAAACAACAAAATACCAACATGTCTACATAATCATAATCCAAACTCTAATTTAATAAAACTAGGGCAGAAACAACAACAATATCAACATGTCTACATAATCATAATCCAAACTCTAATCCCACAAAACTAGGAAATACCAACATGTCTACATAATCATAATCCAAACTCTAATCCCACAAAACTAGGAAATACCAACATATCTACATAATCATAATCCAAACTCTAATTCAATAAAACTAGGGCAGAAACAACAAAATACCAACATGTCAACATAATCATAATCCAAACTCTAATTCAATAAAACTAGGGCAGAAACAACAAAATACCAACATGTCTACATAATCATAATCCAAACTCTAATTTAATAAAACTAGGGCAGAAACAACAACAATATCAACATGTCTACATAATCATAATCCAAACTCTAATCCCACAAAACTAGGAAATACCAACATATCTACATAATCATAATCCAAACTCTAATTCAATAAAACTATGAAATACCAACATGTCAACATAATCATAATCCAAACTCTAATCCCACAAAACTAGGAAATACCAACATGTCTACATAATCATAATCCAAACTCTAATTTAATAAAACTAGGGCAGAAACAACAACAATATCAACATGTCTACATAATCATAATCCAAACTCTAATCCCACAAAACTAGGAAATACCAACATGTCTACATAATCATAATCCAAACTCTAATCCCACAAAACTAGGAAATACCAACATATCTACATAATCATAATCCAAACTCTAATTCAATAAAACTAGGGCAGAAACAACAAAATACCAACATGTCTACATAATCATAATCCAAACTCTAATTCAATAAAACTAGGGCAGAAACAACAAAATACCAACATGCCTACATAATCATAATCCAAACTCTAATTCAATAAAACTAGGGCAGAAACAACAAAATACCAACATGTCTACATAATCATAATCCAAACTCTAATTCAATAAAACTAGGGCAGAAACAACAAAATACCAACATGTCTACATAATCATAATCCAAACTCTAATTCAATAAAACTAGGGCAGAAACAAAAAAATACCAACATGCCTACATAATCATAATCCAAACTCTAATTCAATAAAACTAGGGCAGAAACAACAAAATACCAACATGTCAACATAATCATAATCCAAACTCTAATTCAATAAAACTAGGACAGAAACAACAAAATACCAACATTTCTACATAATCATAATCCAAACTCTAATTCAATAAAACTATGAAATACCAACATGTCAACATAATCATAATCCAAACTCTAATTCAATAAAACTAGGGCAGAAACAACAAAATACCAACATGTCTACATAATCATAATCCAAACTCTAATTCAATAAAACTATGAAATACCAACATGTCAACATAATCATAATCCAAACTCTAATTCAATAAAACTAGGGCAGAAACAACAAAATACCAACATGTCAACATAATCATAATCCAAACTCTAATTCAATAAAACTAGGACAGAAACAACAAAATACCAACATTTCTACATAATTATAATCCAAACTCTAATTCAATAAAACTAGGGCAGAAACAACAAAATACCAACATGTCAACATAATCATAATCCAAACTCTAATTCAATAAAACTAGGGCAGAAACAACAAAATACCAACATGTCTACATAATCATAATCCAAACTCTAATTCAATAAAACTAGGAAATACCAACATTTCTACATAATTATAATCCAAACTCTAATTCAATAAAACTAGGGCAGAAACAACAAAATACCAACATGTCTACATAATCATAATCCAAACTCTAATCCCACAAAACTAGGAAATACCAACATGTCTACATAATTATAATCCAAACTCTAATTCAATAAAACTAGGGCAGAAACAACAAAATACCAACATGTCTACATAATCATAATCCAAACTCTAATCCCACAAAACTAGGAAATACCAACATGTCTACATAATTATAATCCAAACTCTAATTCAATAAAACTAGGTCATAAACAACAAAATACCAACATGTCTACATAATCATAATCCAAACTCTAATCCCACAAAACTAGGAAATACCAACATGTCTACATAATCATAATCCAAACTTGAATTCAATAAAACTAGGGCAGAAACAACAAAATACCAACATGTCTACATAATCATAATCCAAACTCTAATCCCACAAAACTAGGAAATACCAACATGTCTACATAATTATAATCCAAACTCTAATTCAATAAAACTAGGGCAGAAACAACAAAATACCAACATGTCTACATAATCATAATCCAAACTCTAATCCCACAAAACTAGGAAATACCAACATGTCTACATAATCATAATCCAAACTCTAATCCCACAAAACTAGGAAATACCAACATGTCTACATAATCATAATCCAAACTCTAATCCCACAAAACTAGGAAATACCAACATATCTACATAATCATAATCCAAACTCTAATTCAATAAAACTAGGGCAGAAACAACAAAATACCAACATGTCAACATAATCATAATCCAAACTCTAATTCAATAAAACTAGGGCAGAAACAACAAAATACCAACATGTCTACATAATCATAATCCAAACTCTAATTTAATAAAACTAGGGCAGAAACATCAAAAATATCAACATGTCTACATAATCATAATCCAAACTCTAATCCCACAAAACTAGGAAATACCAACATATCTACATAATCATAATCCAAACTCTAATTCAATAAAACTATGAAATACCAACATGTCAACATAATCATAATCCAAACTCTAATCCCAAAAAACTAGGAAATACCAACATGTCTACATAATCATAATCCAAACTCTAATTTAATAAAACTAGGGCAGAAACAACAACAATATCAACATGTCTACATAATCATAATCCAAACTCTAATCCCACAAAACTAGGAAATACCAACATGTCTACATAATCATAATCCAAACTCTAATTCAATAAAACTAGGGCAGAAACAACAAAATACCAACATGTCTACATAATCATAATCCAAACTCTAATCCCACAAAACTAGGAAATACCAACATGTCTACATAATCATAATCCAAACTCTAATCCCATAAAACTAGGAAATACCAACATGTCAACATAATTCATAATCCAAATCTAATCCCAAAAACTAGGAAATACCAACATGTCTACATAATCATAATCCAAACTCTAATCCCAAAAAACTAGGAAATACCAACATGTCTACATAATCATAATCCAAACTCTAATCCCAAAAAACTAGGAAATACCAACATGTCTACATAATCATAATCCAAACTCTAATTTAATAAAACTAGGGCAGAAACAACAACAATATCAACATGTCTACATAATCATAATCCAAACTCTAATCCCACAAAACTAGGAAATACCAACATGTCTACATAATCATAATCCAAACTCTAATCCCACAAAACTAGGAAATACCAACATATCTACATAATCATAATCCAAACTCTAATTCAATAAAACTAGGGCAGAAACAACAAAATACCAACATGTCTACATAATCATAATCCAAACTCTAATTCAATAAAACTAGGGCAGAAACAACAAAATACCAACATGTCTACATAATCATAATCCAAACTCTAATCCCACAAAACTAGGAAATACCAACATGTCTACATAATCATAATCCAAACTCTAATTCAATAAAACAAGGGCAGAAACAACAAAATACCAACATGTCTACATAATCATAATCCAAACTCTAATCCCACAAAATTGGGGCAAAATGTGAACAAAAGGAAGATTTACACGAAGACTCCTGAAGAAGTTCAAGGAAAATAAGACCAGGTATTCCTGAAGAGTTCGCTTCTTCTCTTTCATTAACGATATCCGCCTTGTAAATCTTGGTCAATCCAAGTAAGTAGTGTCACGTTCTCAAATGAGAACAGGGTTTTATACAACAACGGAACATACAGACAAACTAACGAACACCAACCACGTCCAAAAAAATAGATTTAACGCAATCAGGTCTCTAAGTATCAGAGTACATAGATAACACGTGTTTATGCATTATGAATGATAAATTACTTTCTCAAAATCGATATAGATGCATGATTCCGTTTAATTGTTTACACTGTCTTTGATTGAAAGAGACAACAATAACAAATGTTTACATTTTTTGTTTATTTTAATAAGTAATTACTACATTTACAAAAAACACAAAGAAAGTACACGTTTAGACTTCAACCATAAATCTATTTTGTAGTTTTTAAGGATTTCATGTTTAGGGTTTTCCTTTTAATATACTATTTCATCCAGATACTCGAAGGCAGGTACAAACTTGAACCTACAAGAAAATAAGTAATATGACAAGTATTTTCTTAATTTGATGTGTCATCACTATTTCATTCGTGTGTCATGTAGAGTATACACACTCGCAGATTACAGTTCTACATTGCAAAGGAGAATAAAGTTACACAGCAACTATGACATAAAATTAAGTAATTATAGGGAAAACACATTTTCCATAAAACAAATGAGCACGTGGAAAAGTATTATAATTCGTTTCCGTTACATGGTTTTATAAACTCATCATTTTCTCCTTATGATATTCTTGTTTCTGTTTCATCAATTACATCTTTAAACAATAAAACGTCATCCTTTAACAATTACACGTCATCATTGAACAATTACACGTCATCTTTAAATAATAACACGTCATCCTTAAACAATTACACGTCATCCTTAAACAGCCACACGTCATCCTTAAACAATTACACGTCATCATTAAACAATTACACGTCATCCTTAAACAATCACATGTCATCCTTAAACAATTACACGTCATCCTTAAACAGTCACACGTCATCCTTAAACAATTACACGTCATCATTAAACAATTACACGTCATCCTTAAACAGCCACACGTCATCATTAAACAATTACACGTCATCTTTAAACAATTACACGTCATCCTTAAACAGCCACACGTCATCCTTAAACAATTACACGTCATCCTTAAACAGCCACACGTCATCCTTAAACAGTCACACGTCATCCTTAAACAATTACACGTCATCATTAAACAATTACACGTCATCATTAAACAATTACACGTCATCATTAAACAATTACACGTCATCATTAAACAATTACACGTCATCATTAAACAATTACACGTCATCATTAAACAATTACACGTCATCATTGAACAATCACACGTCATCCTTAAACAATTACACGTCATCCTTAAACAGTCACACGTCATCCTTAAACAATTACACATCATCATTAAACAATTACACGTCATCCTTAAACAATTACACGTCATCCTTAAACAATCACACGTCATCCTTAAACAATTACACGTCAACCTTAACAATTACACGTCATCCTTAAACAGTCACACGTCATCCTTAAACAGTCACACGTCATCCTTAAACAATTACACGTCATCCTTAAACAGTCACACGTCATCATTGAACAATCACACGGCATCCTTAAACAATTACACGTCATCATTAAACAATTACACGTCATCCTTAAACAGCCACACGTCATCCTTAAACAGCCACACGTCATCCTTAAACAATCACACGTCATCCTTAAACAATTACACGTCATCCTTAAACAATTACACGTCATCATTAAACAATTACACGTCATCATTAAACAATTACACGTCATCCTTAAACAGCCACACGTCATCCTTAAACAATTACACGTCATCCTTAAACAATCACATGTCATCCTTAAACAATTACACGTCATCATTAAACAATTACACGTCATCATTAAACAATTACACGTCATCATTAAACAATTACACGTCATCCTTAAACAGCCACACGTCATCCTTAAACAATTACACGTCATCCTTAAACAATTACACGTCATCATTAAACAATTACACGTCATCATTAAACAATTACACGTCATCATTAAACAATTACACGTCATCATTAAACAATTACACGTCATCATTAAACAATTACACGTCATCATTAAACAATTTCGTAATCTTCTTAATTCAAAAATTATACGAATATACTAACATCTCGACATGACCTTAACATAAATGAGATAAAACTAGGGCAAAATATCATCAAAACAAAGATTTACGCGGAGATATCTGAAAAAAGTACAAGGAAAACAAGACCAGATGTTCCGGAAGAGTAAGCGTTTGGAAGTTCATTGCAACCTTTCATTCACCATACCTTGGGTTCTTTGGTCGTTTGCCTAGTCCCTTTCCTGGCCTTCTTTCCGGTCTCTTCTCCCCTGGTACTCTTGGAATAAAGTCTTCATTTTTCTGTTTCTGTATCTTTATTAACCTGTGAATGAAATGTACAGTTGAATCACTGAAGTAAGATAGTATCATCATCCTACCATTACGCCATATTAAATCAACCAATCGTTTTAGGTCTTTTTTTATTCATAATTCTTTGTCTCCAGTTGCTTGCTCGTCCGTTAAATGGCCGCAAGGTCCTAACGATGCTCTTCCTTTACACCAACCTTACACATTACGACAGTATTATGATACATCAGACACATCGAACAATACATCAGACACATCGAACAATACATCAGACACATCGAACAATACATCAGACACATCGAACAATACATCAGACACATCGAGCAATACATCAGACACATCGAACAATACATCAGACACATCGAACAATACATCAGACACATCGAGCAATACATCAGACACATCGAACAATACATCAGACACATCGAACAATACATCAGACACATCGAACAATACATCAGACACATCGAACAATACATCAGACACATCGAACAATACATCAGACACATCGAACAATACATCAGACACATCGAGCAATACATCAGACACATCGAGCAATACATCAGACACATCGAACAATACATCAGACACATCGAGCAATACATCAGACACATCGAACAATACATCAGACACATCGAACAATACATCAGACACATCGAACAATACATCAGACACATCGAACAATACATCAGACACATCGAGCAATACATCAGACACATCGAGCAATACATCAGACACATCGAACAAACGTTACAGTTATATATTACCATATAAAGCCTTGACAAGAAAGTTACTTTAAACTTTAAAGATGATTTGTCAAATCAATTAAATATGTTCACGTACATTTGACAGTCGTCAGTGACCGTGTCCACAAAAACGAATGGTCCAAGAGAACGATTAGGTAAAGCTTCACAGGAAACTGGTTCTCCCTCCGTGAGTACAGGTCTGAAGCTGACAACTGGTCTCCTGATAACCCTGATAACAGTAATATCGTCGAAATTTATTTTCGATTTAAACATATTCTAGTGGTATCAAATATACAGGTAGGATTGGGCACAAGTTTTCTAACTTATATTAAGCACTTTCCTAAAAAGTTTGACAAAATACATATTAACAAGACAGGACGACATGTTTAAATACAATTATTATGCGAAGAGAATGAGAGAGAAAGTAAGAGAGAGAGAGAGAGAGAGAGAGAGAGAGAGAGAGAGAGAGAGAGAATTTAATCAATTTATTGTAAATCGGTCTCTCCTACAATGAACAACACTAGTAAAAACACTTTTCAAAACTTGCAAACTTTTCTAGAGTTTGTCACATCTCGTGTTTTTTCACTTTCTTCTGCCATACGGGTGTAATCAATATTGATGTAGGATGTCTATAATTAACTGTACATCGTTATAAACAATATCCTGGATGTGTTTCATGTAATAAGTACTATGTTATGTTTGTAATGTAGTCATTACATTATATGTAATATTTTATATGTAATATTATTATAATAATTGTATATTATTTTAAAATATAATTATCTAAAATTTTATTTTTGAAATTTTGAGTTTAGAAAATGATATACGTAAATTGTGTTGCATTATATCAATTGTCTTTCATCGATACAAGTGAAATGAATTAAAACGTGCATGGCTGAAACAAAGTTCTTCCGATACCAAACAAATTTCCACCAGCAGCAACAATCACCTCTCCATGTCCTAATGTTTGGTTTGTCATTACCAAAATTATCTTAATTCATCTTTGTTTCAGTATTATAGCTCGCCAGACCTATCTTCTGACACACATGTAAGGATGATAATATGATGATATAGAATGAAGGGGAAAAAATTATCAAATATTCAAATATGGCATATTTATAAAATCCTTTATTCGGATGGTTCAAACGTTTGCCTGAAGGAGAAAGAGTTAACTTTTCTCAAAGTAATGCAACGGGCAAATGATTATTCTCTACATTTCATTTTAAATGTATCCAATTTTTTTTTATTCTATTCTCCAAATAAGTGAAAAATAAATATAGTGAAGCATCTATCTGGTAAATCAGTATATAAAAAAGCTCCCCATCCTCGGCCCCATCTTTCTGGATGTTATACCGTAAACCGAGTTAAACGGAGGGGTGAAAATTGGATTCAACACTTACCTGGGTCTGCGTTTGAATTGCTCAATTCTCTTTAATGGGGGTAGAGATAATTTTTCAACTGTAACAACCCTAAAACCAAATAGAATGTATTATCAACTAAAGATTGAAGTTATGAATTAGAAAAAATCATACATTATTACAATATTACAATGTTCTGTTTGTATAGCGAGATATTGTGAAATTTTCTCGCTGATCTTAGAGTTCTATATTAGATATAACATGTGAAATGTTTTATATAGAAATAAAACCTATTTACTTACATTTCACAGCTGTTTTCTATGTACGACACATAAAGCGTCTCATTTTCCAGCTTGTAAGTGTATCTTGGACAAGTGGTCACGTTGTTTAGGTCGTCCATGACAACGTCAGTTACTGTAGCTGGTGACGATCCGGAAGTGACGTCTGTTTGGGAGTTTGTCGTCATTGGAGGAGACGATGTAGTGGCACCATTTGTCGTATGAATGCCTAAAGGTTAAAAATGCAACTTCTACTTACTGTTACTTATGAAAATATCTGAAAAAATTCCAGCTGTTTGAATAAACGATAAAGACAATAGAATTAAATAAATGACAGGTGTACCTGCTGATTTCTTCAATACTTCTATCTATTCACAATTCGTGTCAACAATATAAGGTATAAAACCGTGTCTCTACAGACATAGAAATGTTGTAAGATTTCACAAATAAGAAAATAAATGTGTGAATATTACTGAAGTTGTTTTTTAGAAAGAAAAAAGAAGTGGCTTCTATTCCGTTTGTTGGCTATATTTACATTTACCTGTAAATTGTGTCCCTTCGTATCATCAACTTCCTGTTTCAAATAACATTTTTGTAAATTTCGATTTTTTTTAATGATCCATGGTATTTTTTCAACCAACATTTATCCACATTTGATAATTTTGTTCAATGCGATGCATTTACAAATAAATTCATGATAAAAAGTTTTAACAAAAAAAACTTTTTTTGTTGGCAGAAGTAGTAAGAACTCAAAGAATTTTGAAGAAGTTTAACAAGTGTACTTACATATAGACCCGATAGCCAGGACACAAGCCCCTATGATAAAGAACCTCTCCATAGTAAATCAGCTGTTTTGAGATGTCTAGTAGTAGGTGGTCAGTTTAGGTAATCTGTGTTTCTCCGGACAATTGGTTGATCTTATATAGGCTCCCTGACCCTCCAAACCACACACGGTCGACAAAAAATATTTTCTACGTCAAGTACTGTTTTATCTCCGACAGACGTCATAATGCACCGTACCCTCTGATGCACCGGGGCCACCGACAGGGAATATGTTGTTATCTATCCATAAAATATTACAATAAAATGCAGAAACAATGTTTTATATTCATGATTCTTTGTTAGTTAGTGTTTAGTTTTATCTTTACGAGAAGAAATCCATATTGATTTATGTTATGTATGTGTTGTTTATACTTTATCCCTAAGGAGCCCCAATATATTGGTTCTCCTATAAATAACTGTCTCCAGCAATGGTCACTTTTGTGACGTGAGGACCATGAAGTCATCATTCTTACTGGTCAAAGACGTATTACACTGTACTGGTCATTTCGTACAGACGACTGTCCGGTGTCTTGTCAGTTTGTTTACAAATCTACCTGTCACTCAGGGTTTGTTATGTTCTTGGTCATGTATAAGGAAGAATTAACCTTAACCTTTTTAATGTCATTTAAAAGTCTCAGTTAACTTGTAAATTCTGTATGTCATTGTAGTCATAACCGTTTATTGTATGACGTTTCATTTTCAGGTTAAATAATTGTTTTATTATATTCTTTATTTCATTTCCATTTTAATATTTTCTGATTTTGTATGACATTTCAACATATAATTAATTTGTATGACATTTGAAACATATCCGTAAATTTTGTATGACATTTCAACATATCAGTTAATTTTGTATGACATTTCAACATATCAGTTAATTTTGTATGACATTAGAAACATATCAGTTAATTTTGTATGACATTTCAACATATCAGTTAATTTTGTATGACATTTAAACATATCAGTTAATTTTGTATGACATTTCAACATATCAGTTAATTTTGTATGACATTTCAACATATCAGTTAATTTTGCATGACATTAGAAACATATCAGTTAATTTTGTATGACATTTAAACATATCAGTTAATTTGTATGACATTTGAAACATATCCGTAAATTTTGTATGACATTAGAAACATATCCGTAAATTTTGTATGACATTAGAAACATATCAGTTAATTTTGTATGACATTAGAAACATATCAGTTTATTTTGAATGACATTAGAAACATATCAATTAATTTGTATGACATTTGAAACATATCCGTAAATTTTGTATGATATTTTAATCCTGTCTTTTAATTTTGTATGACATTTTAATCCTGTCATTTAATTTTGTATGACATTTTAAACATATCGGGTAATTATGTATGACATTTTAAACAGATCCGTAAATGTTGTGTGACAATTTAAACATGTCCTTTAATTTTGTATGACATTTAAACATATCAGTTAATTTGTATGACATTTGAAACATATCCGTAAATTTTGTATGACATTTTAATCCTGTCTTTTAATTTTGTATGACATTTTAAACATATCGGGTAATTATGTATGACATTTAAAACATATCAGTTAATTTGTATGACATTTGAAACATATCCGTAAATTTTGTATGACATTTGAAACATATCCGTTAATTTTGTATGACATTAGAAACATATCCGTAAATTTTGTATGACATTAGAAACATATCAGTTAATTTTGTATGACATTTAAACATATCCGTAAATTTTGTATGACATTAGAAACATATCAGTTAATTTTGTATGACATTTAAACATATCAGTTAATTTTGTATGACATTAGAAACATATCAGTCAATTTGTATGACATTTGAAACATATCAGTTAATTTGTATGACATTTGAAACATATCCGTAAATTTTGTATGACATTTTAATCCTGTCTTTTAATTTTGTATGACATTTTAAACATATCGGGTAATTATGTATGACATTTAAAACATATCAGTTAATTTTGTATGACATTTTAAACATATCGGGTAATTATGTATGACATTTAAAACATATCAGTTAATTTGTATGACATTTGAAACATATCCGTAAATTTTGTATGACATTTGAAACATATCCGTTAATTTTGTATGACATTAGAAACATATCCGTAAATTTTGTATGACATTAGAAACATATCAGTTAATTTTGTATGACATTTAAACATATCAGTTAATTTTGTATGACATTAGAAACATATCAGTCAATTTGTATGACATTTGAAACATATCCGTAAATTTTGTATGACATTTGAAACATATCCGTAAATTTTGTATGACATTTTAATCCTGTCTTTTAATTTTGTATGACATTTTAAACATATCGGTTAATTATGTATGACATTTCAAACAGATCTGTAAATGTTGTGTGACATTTTAAACATGTCCTTTAATTTTGTGTGACATTTTAAACATATCCGTTTTATTATATTCGTTAAATTCTACAACGGTATTGCCATGAGTTTATTCTAGTACAGTCTATCATAAGTAAGTTGTTCTATAAGGACTTGTGTAAAGAAACCTAAACATGAAAATGGGACTACTTAGTATATCCTACCAAACGCACCAGTGGTTAGTGCCATACAAATCTAAAAGATGATATACTACACTCGAAAACTGCTTCATATATATATGGGTTTTTATTTGTTAATGATGCAAGGGGCTCTAAGTATTAATTGTCCATTTCAATGGGTAATAAATAAGAATACTATTTTAAAGTTATCGCATTTAGATATGTCATTATTGTACGTAACTATCTAATGATTTGATTGGTCATTTTATATACTCAGAGTTTGATGACGTACTCTACATGAGATACCAGACTGAACACCCACACTTCATCGGTGACATCCAGAAAGGCTCGATAATTTAAACAAAGATTTAAACTTCATTCAGCAAGCACGTGCTTCCGCACTTCTCTCTCCACAATCAAACATACCCCTGTAATTATCCTTATGTTCGTGTCTCGTAATTCAGGCTGATTCAATTACCGACTTTTATTGTAAACTGCAAACCACGTGCTTTTAAATGCGTTCTAATGGAGACACATTTCAGAATATATACTTAGGGTTTCCTCATATGCAATTCAGGTTTCAATGCAGAGTTCTTTATCGCCATTAATGAGTTCTAGACGACGAAACAGCTGTATGATGTAACATCGCTGACGAGTCCTAGAAGGACAAAACAGCTGTATGATGTAACATCGCTGACGAGTCCTAGAAGGACAAAACAGCTGTATGATGTAACATCGCTGACGAGTCCTAGAAGGACGAAACTGGTGCATGATGTAACATCACTAACGAGTTCTAGAAGGACGAAACAGCTGTATGATGTGGCATCGCTGAAGAATCTTAGAATGACGAAACAGCTGTATAATGTAGCATCAATGACGAGTCCTAAAAGGACGAACCATCTGTATGATACATTTTAATTCGTGATCTGTCTCTACTTTATCTCACTCTAACGTTGGATTAAAAAGAGAGCTGTTAATTTGTGTCTTTAGTACAATCGTTTAGTATATAAAAAACAGTTGTACTTATTTCACGAAATAGCAAGTTATAACAATATAAACAAATCCAATCAGTCAGTAAATACATGACAATTAAAGATGATATGTTATGATACGTTGCTTTAGAGAATTGATATTTGGCCTCATAACAGTGATTAGAAGAAGTTTTAAACCATCAGTTGTTACGAAATGTATTGAATTATGGGACCAGTGCACCTCCCTGTCTAGATTTTGACTTTTCTTTCGATCACTCGGAATTTTTCACAGTCTCCTCTTGGGCTTCAAGCTTGAAGCCAATGGCATCACTGACGAGTCAAGAAGGACGAAACTTTGATGCACATTTTAATTCAATGTTTGGCTCAATCTTATTCTAAATCTAATCAAATAGTGGAAATCACTTACGTATATTCTTTACAATCTTATAAGATTTGATATCGAACCTACGCACGCGCTTTCCACGTAAATAAGCTATAGATACCATTTCCTGTTTTGTGTATAACTAACGTGACATTTACTAAAGTATTCCCCCTATAACTTCCGTTTATAAGTAACATTCTTTTGAACTTCGGTCAACTTAGAAGTTTTATGTGTGTGTTTATACTGTACATTGGAGATAACAGGACGTACTGGTGTTTTACCGAATTGACCAGTACAAGGGTCAGTTTATAGGCCTGGTATGGCCTAATATGATAGATCCCACACCTCACAGACGTTAATGGTCAACAAGCGAGACATTTGAGTCAACAATGGGGTCCTAAAAAGGGAAATAATCAAACGCGCAAATGAAAAAGCATCAGTTTTAAGAAATCCTGTAAGTTGTTGACTGTATTGTGTAAACAAGTATTTAATTGTTACAGAGTTATGTGGTTTTTCCTAGGGAAAAGACCAGCAGGCGTTATAAAAAATGACTTTTATAACATTACTATATTTTAAGTAAAGAAATATCCCGTTTATGGCCCCCGAGGGTTCAAGGTCTCCACATCCGTGGCTTGTGGTGACGTCCCCATCTCCACTGACCTTAAAAACAAAAACAATTTTGACGTCAAAAATCTTGTTTTCTTGTTTTTGGGATGTCCAGTTTCCTATATAAGATCATCAATCCATTGTCCGAATCAGTAAGATTCTTCACACATCAGCAACAAGTCAGATTAAGTATGGACAGGGTCTACATCATCGGCTTAATTACGATTGGGTGTCTAAGTAAGTTGTCGTTGTTTGTTTCTTTCTTTCTTTCTTTCTTTGGAAATCGCTTGGCGTAAAAGTGAAACATTTCTGTGAATTTCCTTTCGTTAATGAGGCTCGAGTATTTTAGGAAAATATTCATTTTGTTGGAACTTGATTTCTCGTAAACAAATTTCACGGTATTCAGCAGTTTTAAAACGTTATGTCTATTTTTAACGGCTTGTTATTCCGTTGTGGTCTAAGAACACTTAATGTTTTAGCAAAATATCACTGTGATTCGTAGTAAAAGATAACCACCTCCGTGCTTAAGTTATATCGTTCTGGCAGTTGAGATAGAATAGCGCTTGAAATGTCAAATAACATATACCTATTTACACTAAAACATCTGCGGTATTGTTTACATAAATTTTATTCAATTTTCTGAAATTTATAAAAGATGGAGTAGACCAATGAAAAGTGAAATCTGTTTTGAACCATGCTTAGGATTGCTGCTTCTTGTCATGTAGGTGTCCAACTGTCACATGGTGCTACCACCTCGTCGCCATCATCAACCCAAACATCCCAAACCGAGGCTGAACAAGACGCCGGTACAACTTCCGGTGTCACCGGAACAACACCATCTGGAACAACGGAAGACAATCTAAACGTCTCTTCTTGTCCGCGATTTAATAATCGCCATGATAATGGCACACTTTATGTACCATACATAGAAGGTCGATGTGAAATGTAAGAATTTTAGAAATGCAGAAGTCAGTTAAAACACGCTGTTGTTGTCTTGGCTACCATCGAGTTTTATCAAACATTTCTTGACGATCGGTCTTAATCATACACTGTATTTGTCTGTTAAAAAATACTAAAAATTGTAACATTTTCACATTTTGAGTTTCTCTATAAAAAGTATGAACAGTTTGGGTATGGAAATGTTTATATAACTTGCTTAAAGAAAACTGTTGTATTTAGTGATATTTATGTTTTAATGAACGAAAAATTCATAAAATCTCTCTCATAATCGTTGAAGTTTGGAATTATATTTCCGCGCGGAACAATTCTTTTGGCGTAGGTCATCAGGCAAACTTCAGCGTGACGTCAACGTCGGGTAGACAAAGATTTAACAACAGAAGGTTGGAGTTTTGATTTTATGGTTTTCGATGTTGACAAGTTGGTATATTGACATGTTTGTATTTTCTTTGTTTTTTTTTAATCATTTCTGCAGGATAGGCCCGAGACAGAAAGACAGAGGCTCCCTACTTTTGTCTTTCTTCACCCTCGCCAAAATACAGCTTGTATTTTAAGACGTTGACCTTGTGTTCTTTATATATGTATATATATGTCGATTATTTGTTTTTAGGACCGTCACTGTAGAAACCGTGACGCTACCTCCATTGTTGTTAGTAAAGATGTTTAAGCGAGGGAAAAGGTGAGTGTTATATATCTAAATATCTTTATCAAATGACTGAAAAGTTAACATATCTATAGAGAATTTCCATTCAATCTACGTAATTTATGAAACGAGTCCAATGTTTTTTTTTTTTTTTTTTCTTTTCTTATTTTAAACAAGTCTTTGGTGAACTTAGTAAAACGTCTTTATAGAATTAAATATAATTAATACCAATTTACTTTTTCGCGTGAGTTATTATTCAGAAAAAAATTGTAGAAAACGGTTATTTCCATGTCAAACTTTAAGTCATTTCGGAGATCTGTGACATCCCTTGTGACGAAAAATTAAGATACTCTATGTTATCATTTACCTTAGAAAGGTTAGACTTCGATAGGTTAAAAGTGAAAATTGTGCAGGAAAAGGACCAAACGAAGGCATTTGGCATTTTGATTTTGGCCATTGTTGACGTCACGTCATTGTTTGTATTTGTACACTACGATCGATTTCTGACTGGCGCGGCCAATGAAAAACACTCTAGGGTATATTACTTGAATAACAGAGAGAATGCTTGATAAGGAATAATGTGTTAATTGTTTCTGATTATCTCAGGAATACATCTATGCTCTTTGTTATAAAATTATTTATTCAAAATTTACAGGAATTCTAGGAATAAAAAATGACATTTTAACATTACAATTTTATATTCCATAGTGAATTTAACATTAAAAGTCCCTCTTTAACTTAAATGTTAGTTTTTTCATGTAGATGTATATTATTAATTAACTCATAATGCGTTATTCGACTACACTGTGTTTAAATTCTGTATTTGTATCAGGTGTCATTCTCGTCTGTGCCCTTTTTAACATTACATCTACATATCTACATCAATGTACTTACCTAGGGTTATCACGTGACCAGTGGTCAGTTTTATATCTACATATCTATATCAATGTACTTACCTAGGGTTATAAGAAGACCAGTGGTCAGTTTTATTTCTACATATCTACATCAATGTACTTACCTAGGGTTATAAGAAGACCAGTGGTCAGCTTCAGAACTATAGACACAGAACTGGACGGAGAAGCAGTCACTTGTGAGTCTTTGCCTAGCCGGGCACTAGGGCCGTTCGTCTTCGTGGATACAGTGGCTGGTGAATGTCAAATGTAAGTAACCATTGATAGAAATCTATAGCACACCCTAACACTCTGAAATATGGACAAATATGAAGGTTGTTAAATTATGCTGTCCGTGCACCTCCCTTTATACAATGTGACACTTCGTCCGATCAATGTTCGGTATCGTTATACAGACAGATCCGAAGTTGTTCGACTTAGGTTTGATGTCTTCACGGAAAATGAAAGAAACGTCAGGAGGACTGGTAATTAAGATAAAACACATTTATTTAATCCTTGCAAGTCCTATAAGATACGATACAGCAAAGTTTGTCAGCGTCGTCACTGCTGTCAAACAATTTTTATTATCAACTGTAACGTTATACTAACTTCTGGTATCAGTTAATTACTTCGTTAAATCTGAAAGTTTAAGGCGATATTTTGACGGGTCTATTACAAAGCGTCTGTCCTGACTACAACGTTCACACGATCACTCTGTGTTCTTCAGGTTACTGAAAGTACAGCGACGGAAAAATGGAAAGATTATATCACGCGGGCCAGGAGACAGGAAGTGGTGGAAACCATGGTTACGACCGGGAAAACGACCCGGAAATCGACCAAGGATAGAAAAGTATGTCATTTTATCTCTTAGATCCGGAAAACATTTCCACTAATGAGCACTAAAAATTGTGATTCTCTGATATATAACACCATCTCACTTGTTCTTGGTTGATTTTATGAAATATTTTTTCCAGTCACACTTTATTTATACATTCACTAGAAATTTACAACCTCTGGCTTTTAAATCTACATTATAATTGTAGTATTTTCACAAAAACGCCGTGTGTGGTAAATAAATAGACTGATCGCATTCTTTGTTACAGGTTTACATTCGTTCCAGCCTATGAATACCTGGATGAAGTTGTGTACTAAATGGAGAAACTTTCTGAAATGTTATTGTACTAGTAACTACAAATTTCCCCAAATTTTGTTGGCATGCAAATATATATGTGAATTGTGTACATTAAATACCTACATTATTGTCAGTGATGTTTTGTGTAGACTTGTGGATATGTCATGTTATATGTTTGTTATTTATAAATAAATTTAAAAATTAAAGTGTAATGCTTTATTTTTGGATGATGTTGATTTTGATTCAGATTATTCTCCATCAGGACACCAACAAAATGGCATTTTTGTATCATTTCCAGCTTCTATTTTTGTGTATCCGTCGTGTGTTGAAGTATTCAATTTTCCTTCCCTAAATTTCAGAAAAAGTAAACAGTAATTGGCTTTCTGACCGACTTTACTGACGATTGGGAATGGCACTATTCATACCAACATTAAGAACAGCTAGCATTTTAAAATCTGATCGAAAAAGTCAGAATATAGGATTTTCAATGAGTTATCGTTTCATATGAAATTTTATATATTGAGTCTTTTTATCTTATGAGTTGTGTCGGACAAAATTTAAAACTTCGAAGCGAGTTTCTAAAAATATCGTTTGAAATGAAAACAAATTTAAGGCACTATTTATCACATTCAGAAAAGTGTTTCTATGACGACATATAAATGACAAAATCAAACAGAAGCAGTCATTGTGTTGCGTCATTTTTCGAATTCATGACGTAACGTCATTGTCCATTTTGACATCACAATGGCTGTCGTATTCACTGAAAGTGCTCCAAATTACTGTCCTGAACACTTTACAGTAACAGAATTCGAGATCGTTTGTTCGGTAATGACTATGTCTGTACCCCGTCGTTTTGTGTTCCATTTGACTGATTCTTCTGTTAATATTTACAGAAAATAGTTTGTGCGTGCTGTTAAGACACGTCACGGATCATTAGTTTGTTTATATTTCACTTTAAGGATTTAAGCAACCAGCCGCGATGTTAATTGTACAATATATATATAATATAGCTGGGGTTCCCGTTGGGTAGCCTATCGTTCATTTTTTTAATAAATTTGTTCAATGTAACAAAAATCACTCAGGCACATATTACATATGTATAACATATAGGAAACTTTTCACTCTACGTCAACTTTCATCCAACTTATCCTGTCATGTGTTCACTCAACTTATATTGTCATGCTTTCGCTCAAGTTATCCTGTCATGTGTTCACTCAACTTATATTGTCATGTTTTCACTCAAGTTATCCTGTCATGTTTTAGTTAATCCGAGTTATATTGTCATGTGTTCACTCGAGTTATATTGCCACAGCATTAAGTGGGCGCATAACTCTCAAAATTATGATAAACATGTTTTTAAGAAGAAAAAAATGACAAAGTTAATTATCATAAAGGCTTTAATTTGTACAATATTCAGAAGTTGTTGCCCCCGTTTTGTGTGTCTTGTGTTGTAGACGTGTTGATTGTCGCAACAGATACACAGGCTCGGTTCCTGTGTTGTTGTGGTGGTGATGTTTGTGTTGTTGTTGTTGTTGTTGTTGTTGTTGTTGTTGTTGTTGTTGTTGTTGTTGTTGCTGTTTTGTTTTTTTCCTGATCTGGTTTTACACTGTCTATTTTTACTTTTAATTGTTTCAAATAATACATTTTCCCTATGGCAAAGTGTCATTTGTACAGTATATATATATATAGATAAATATTATGAGTTGAGAAGTTTATTACTGGTAAGCATAAAACTCGCTACGTTGGAATATATTACGTGTTTTCTCTAAGAAACAGTTTTTTAATTCTTATTATAAAATGAATTATCCCACACTGGGCCTCTTTTAAAACGAAATAAATATATATCATCCCTGTGTGTCAGGAGAATGTATCACACATGATCGAACCCCTCGGTAACTTCGACATAAGTTGTCAGTAAATCCTCAACTGTCCAGTGTCCGGGATTATGTGATGGTCAACCTGGACATCGTGAAACGACAGCGATGGCTGGTAGATTTACTACGACCGGTGTGTGGCTAGTATTTCTGTGTATATGTAAGTATGTGTTGTCAGATTTTGAAAGTGATATTTCTTTAGGGTTGATAAAAGGATCTAGTTTCCGATTACACCATCGTATGAACTCGTTATAATTTCAGCGTCATTGAGACGTGTCATACACGCACATTGTTGTGACAGACTGTGTTTGACGGAACAAGTGTTTGTACGACTCTGTAGTAATCGTGTAGGGTGACCTGATTCTATCGTCCTGATCTCAACAGCCCTGATTATATCATAAATACCTACATACAGCAGTCGATGTTATAGTAGGTCGAGGAATATTTACAGACACGAGAAAGTGAAATGTTAACATAGTAACGACAATAGTTCTAACCACAGGGGTTTGGCACGAATTCTCGACTCACGATCAAATTATAATACATACATGTGGACCGTGGGCAAGGAAACTGTGTCAAGTCCCTGTGTCACTATAATACACACATACACACTTTTATATATAAATAGATTTATTTATTGACTATGGGTAAGGAATCCGTCCCAAGTCCCTGTGTCACTACAATACACACATTTATATATAAATACATTTATTTATTAAGTATGGGTAAGGAATCCGTCCCAGGTCCCTGTGTCACTATAATACACACATATATATATATAAATATTTTTCAAAATTACAATCATTTTTATAAATACTATAACGAACAGATTTCGAAGAATCAAAAACATCATTATTCCATTTTTGCACAAATAGGTCGTACAATATTTGTTTATCAGTTAGTGTAATCCATTGTGGGTTCAAATTTCCCTGTAATTGGGAATTCCAAGTGTACATCGATCCACATTCATTTAAAATATTTTGTATAAAACTAAGATACGTAACTGCTTTACTTAACAGATTTCAGATTTTATTAATACACTCTGACGCATGGAAATGTGTAACATTAGGGCATACAGGTATTAACAATCAAATACATGACAAGATGGATAGTAAGGTACATGTATACATACAACTCTACGTACCAGATAGTTTATATAGAACAAGTGTAGGAAATACAATCAAATTAAAGGTAACATTTTCTTCAAAAGGAATGCTAACTTTTTCGATATTTCAACATTTCCTGTAATCAGAAGTCGCTCATATCTATACACATTCGGATTTTGGATAAAGTAATTGGCCAAGTATTTTAATGTGATATCACTTATATCTTCGTTTCTGCACATAAATTTATAATGAAATTCATCCCCGATATATTGTTAACATAAACTACACAGCCTTTCATCCCCGATATATTGTTAACATAAACTGCACAGCCTTTCATCCCCGATATATTGTTAACATAAACTACACAGCCTTTCATCCCCGAGATATTAACATAAACTGCACAGCCTTTCATCCCAGATATATTGTTAACATAAACTACACAGCCTTTCATCCCCGATATATTGTTTACATAAACTGCACAGCCTTTCATCCCAGATATATTGTTTACATAAACAACACAGCCTTTCATCCCAGATATATTGTTAACATAAACAACACAGCCTTTCATCCTAGATATATTGTTTACATAAACTGCACAGCCTTTCATCCCAGATATATTGTTAACATAAACTACACAGCCTTTCATCCCCGAGATATTGTTAACATAAACTACACAGCCTTTCATCCCCGATATATTGTTAACATAAACAACACAGCCTTTCATCCCCGATATATTGTTTACATAAACAACACAGCCTTTCATCCCCGATATATTGTTTACATAAACTGCACAGCCTTTCATCCCAGATATATTGTTTACGTAAACAACACAGCCTATCATCCCCGATATATTGTTTACATAAACAACACAGCCTTTCATCCCCGATATATTGTTAACATAAACTGCACAGCCTTTCATCCCAGATATATTGTTTACATAAACAACACAGCCTTTCATCCCCGATATATTGTTTACATAAACAACACAGCCTTTTGTCCCAAATATATTGTTAACACAAACTACACAGCCTTTCATCCCCGATATATTGTTAATATAAACTGCACAGCCTTTCATCCCAGATATATTGTTACATAAACAACACAGCCTTTCATCCCCGATATATTGTTTACATAAACTGCACAGCCTTTCATCCCAGATATATTGTTAACATAAACAACACAGCCTTTCATCCCAGATATATTGTTTACATAAACAACACAGCCTTTCATCCCTGCTATATTGTTAACATAAACAACACAGCCTTTCATCCCAGATATATTGTTAACATAAACAACACAGCCTTTCATCCCCGAGATATTGTTAACATAAACAACACAGCCTTTCATCCCCGATTTATTGTTAACATAAACAACACAGCCTTTCATCCCAGATATATTGTTTACATAAACAACACAGCCTTTCGTCCCTTGGTATATTGCTCCAACGTCCAGTTTCTATTGGGAATTAAATATTAGATGTGCGTAATTTAGCTATCAAAACTCTATTTTGGTCAGATAACTTTTTTAAGTATTTCAAAATAAAATTTTCTTTTAATGTTCAAATAGTATTGACCTTTTGAAGAAGACTCCATATCTGAGAACCATCTTTGTAAAATAAATCCTGAAGACGTTTAATTTAAAATCATAAAAATTCCAAGTCATTTGGAATTCATTATCAAACACATACGTGTATCCAATATTATTAAAGGTCTGTTTGATGTGATCAAGCCATCATTTGTCCATTACAGTGTCATTTTGACATCAATCTGTATAAAATATTGCTTAATTTATTTTCATTTATAAGAAATTGATTCCAGAAATTCAGCATTCTTAATTTAACTTTTATATCTAACAGATACCGTCCTAGCTCCCAGTAAACAATATAGTTTGGAGTTGTAGACCAAACATTAAGAATTCTTCTGCAAAATTTCTGGTGTGTTTGTTCAAGAAGTTTTAAATCTTCATATCTCCATATTTCTGAACCGTATATTAAGATAGGTTCGACCAGTGAAGCAAAGAGCTTCAGCTGTAGATCAACAGGTATTGCTTGATGCCGTATTTTTCTAAAAATAGAGAAAATAGACTTTTGTGCTTGTTCAATAAGTCCTTTTCTAGCATTAAGAAAACATCCATTAAACTTAAAAGTTATACCTAAGTATGTAAAGAAATCTACAATATCTAATATTTTGTCATTGAATACAAAACAATGATGCTGTCTGTTCTTTCTTTTACTAAATATCATGACCTTTGTTTTACTTACGTTAACATCCAGTTTCCATAATTTACAATATTGCTGAAAATTATTCAACGATTTTTGCATTTCATCCGGGGATTCATAAAAAAATAAATGTATCATCAGCGTACAGAAGCATAAATAACTGTATGTAAATCCGAAGTTCACTCAAAATTATTTCACTTAAATTTTCAAGAAGGGCACTGTCTATTGATAAAATATACTGTTCCAGGCCCCACTTGTATAAAACATCTCAACTTGAGATTTCCTCAAGTCGAGATTTTCCTAAGCTGATATCTCCTTGAAAATTTTCTTTCATTTAATACCCCAGTAAATAATTTTCCGAAACAGCTAACAATTGTTATAATAATCTTTTGGATTACTACTTTTTAATTAATTAAATTTTGACCTCGTATGACGTCTATAAAAATAAATACATTTATTCATAGTTCTTTTGTACGATTTTTCAGACGTTTTATATTTGTGAAAGAAAAAGTCATTTTTATGACGTCCATATTGATTCTGATCACGTCGATCTTTTTTCTCTCTTTGTATCATTCTCTATTAAACCGGGGTTTTGATTTCGCCTTATGTTTACACGAACAGAAGTTACCTATAGTATTAGTTTGTCGTGTACCCAAAGTAGTCTTAACGGCATTTACTAATACATTACCACACTCTAAGTTATCATCGTCTAAATTATAATTATCAGGAGTCTCCACAATAAATCTTAAAATGTCGTGTATCTTCTCAATATCAAGGTTATCAGAGAATTCCGGTATTTTCGTATCATCCCACCTATTAATCAATTCTTTGGGTTGGAAATTATATGTATCGATTGACTGACCGTCGATCTGATAGTCTTTAGAATGAATCGTGAAAGAAATCGGACAATGGGCATCCGAGTGTAAGGAGCTGAAGTCTAAAACTCTAGTCATCAACAAATTTGAATAGATTTGACGAGCATATCACATAGCCAAAACTTTCGTCGCTGCCATCTCGACCATTACATGTATATAAATAATTAAACTTACACAAATTAATTAGTTGATTTCCAAAATTATTCTTCTGTTCATCTTTACTACTTCTAATTTCTGCTATGTTGTACATATCAAAGAAGTTGACGTTAATTTTTCCTGTAATATATGATTCGTCAAATCTTCAGTGTCATCTTACTCTCTTACATTCAAAACGGTTTTTCATTATAGTATTAAAACCTGGTATTTCAAGGATATAAACATTACCAGTTTTTGTTTCGGTCAAACATAAAATATCAAAAGTATTAATAAATTCTACAAATTCGGGGCACTGGATTATTCTTAAAAATTCCACAAACATTTAGAACTAGAATATTAAGCTTATTGTTATTTACAACTGATTAATAAAACTGATAAATATAAACAGCATGTATCAATGTCTGTGTCGATTGTCCTAGCCAATGTCTCTATGAGTAAAAATATGTCCGCTTGATGTTATGGTCCACATGATCGGGAATACTAATTCTCGGTGAAAACATGTTTCTTAATTTTAAATAAAGACTACTCTATATATCTACATATGATATTTTGTGTTTATTTCTTGCACTCACCCTGTACTACAAAGCATTCGTGATTAAAATAAACTCGCACGTTTCATATCTGTGATGTGCATTATTTATTTAACTTAAAGTCTTACAACTCACCAACATTCAAATCAACATATAATTGATCAATTGGTTATATGAAACAAAATATTAATTATATCATTGTATATAAAGCGTAATCTTATCCGCTTTTTAACGAGTGATGGCCAGCTCTGATATAGTTACTTTAAGTGTACATTGACTTTACATAGGAATACATCAGTTATTATGTACAAGATGTGGTGTACGGATTAGGTATAGAGTGGTGTAGTGATGGCCAGGTATAGAGTATAGTTACTTTAAGTGTACATTGACTTTACATAGGAATACATCAGCTAGCATAGAGTCATAAAGGCTCGAACAGGGCATACATATGTATAGAGTGGTGTAGTCAGGGGATGGACGGTAACAATAGGTATAGAGTGGTGTAGTCAGGGGATGGACGGTAACAATATGTATAGAATGGTGTAGATAGGGGATGGACGGTAACAACATCTATAGAGTGGTGTAGTCAGGGGATGGACAGTAACAATATCTATAGAGTGGTGTAGACAGGGGATGGACTGTAACAATATGTATAGAGTGGTGTAGTCAGGGGATGGACGGTAACAATATGTATAGAGTGGTGTAGTCAGGGGATGGACGGTAACAATATGTATAGAGTGGTGTAGTCAGGGGATGGACAGTAACAATATGTATAGAGTGGTGTAGTCAGGGGATGGACGGTAACAATATGTATAGAGTGGTGTAGTCAGGGGATGGACGGTAACAATATGTATAGAGTGGTGTAGTCAGGGGATGGACGGTAACAATATGTATAGAGTGGTGTAGTCAGGGGATGGACGGTAACAATATGTATAGAGTGGTGTAGTCAGGGGATGGACAGTAACAATATGTATAAAGTGGTGTAGTCAGGGGATGGACAGTAACAATATGTATAGAGTGGTGTAGTCAGGGGATGGACGGTAACAATTGCAGACAAACAAGAACTCATATAAAGCGTATCAAAGTGAAAGTAAATAAAACCATAATCTAGACCGAGGAGACTTGATTGCATATATTTCGATGTAAGGAACAATTTTACGGGTGAGAATGACTGACAATTAATACAGGTCATACAGGTACAAAAGTGGTTTCAATTTAATGGCCGATTCCATTTAACTTTTCTTTGTTGAATCTGCAAAATTTAAATCAAACATTCTGTACTTTTGTCCCATATTTTTTTTTCTATATTTCAGTACATTCCCAGGATGCATCCGCGTGCCCAACATTTCCTGTGAAACAAGAAAATAAACGGCTAACATTTTCATTGCTTCCAGACAAATGTGAATTGTAAGTTGTCATTATTTTAACCATTTGCTTAAGAGTGAACAAACAGAATTAACAGATCATAGAGCATTTTTTTTGTCGTGATGTGAATTTTCCTTTTATTGTGCCATGTACAAATTTTGAGTCACTATGATGTAGCTTGTGTTGTCCATTAGCATTCAAGCATTTTTGTATAGATTTTCTACTACTTAGTAAATGAGTCTGGATGGTAAAATTGTTAGAATAAAGTACAATAATGTTGATTTCCTTGTGAAATCTGTAATCATGAATTATCTCGTTAAGGTAATTCATAGATAAAAGTTGTTCAAAGAACACGCAACTGAATGAACCCATTCAATTCCTGAAATATCTATTTATAATTCGTTATAGCCAAATGACCAATCAAAATGTATCTCTCTGCTGAGTTTGTTTACAAATATTATCGTAATAAATTTCGTCATTTAGGTTTGAATGGACACCAAACAAATAATTAATTACATATTTTTCGAGAGAAGAATTCTAGAAACAAGGACGAAAAATAAAAACTGCTTTTAAAATGTTTGGTGTTTACTTCATCAATTTGATCAGCTGGCTTGATTTTATGCAAATACACTTATAATTTACTTCCACTTCCGGTTCCGGTCCCCAGGGTGGTCAGTGTTAGGGTGGTCATGCGGACGATAAGACAGGTCAAGAGTATGAGTTTTGTAAAGGGACGTGCACTTCGGCCTCTTGTACGGTAAGGTATTTTCAAACTATTTTTACGCTTTATTCAAATATACAAGGGTGTGCGTTGGTGTGCGTGTGTATGTAAGGTGGGGGGGTTGAGGAGGTGAGAGTGTGGGTGGGTGAGAACGTGTGTGTGAGAGGGTAGAGGAGGGGATGAGTGAGGCTGTGTGTGAGGGGATAGGGCGAGGACGTATGTATGTGAGAGTGTGTGTGTAAGGTCGTGTGTGAGGGGTTGGGTGTGAGAGGGAGGTAAGGTTGTGTATGAGGAGTGTGTATGAGGGGCTGGGTGTGAGAGATGGTGAAAGGGTGTATATGAGGGGCTGGTTTTGAGAAGGTGGGTGAGGGTGTGTATGAGGGGCTGTTTGTGAGAGGGTGAGTGAGGATGTGTATGAGGGGCTGGGTGTGAGAGGGTTGGGTGAGGATGTGTATGAGAGGCTGAGTGTGAGAGGATGTGTAAGGGTGTGTGTGAAGGGCTGAGTGTGAGAGGAAGGTTGAGGGTGCGTGTGGCGAATCATATTAGGAAAACATGACATTTATTTTTGAAAACATCGGAAGTAGTCAGAATAAAAAGTACAATGCCGTTTTGAAATATGTTGGATGTTTTATTCTAAGTTTAATCTACTGTATTTAACGATGGCGTTGACAGTTCAGAATTGTACACTGGCTAACTTGGTGATGTAACTTGATATATTACATGATACATAAAAGACATGGGAGATAACTCATGTTATATCAAGTTTTCTTAACTCATCAAAAACAGGTGCTGTAAATAGGAATTAAAATCAAGACATATTTTTTTCTATTTTTGGGGGGGGGATTTTATTATTATGTTAATTATTAATCTTTTTTTATTACTATTAATATTTTTACGATAATCAGACACAACATGACAAACTACGATTGATACTCAACACACAATTAACTTTAGCTATCAGTTATACAATATAAATCAATATATGTAGTGTGTTTTTTAACATATTACATTGACAATAAAACATTAGATACATGCACATGAACTTGCGATCGCCGCTCTCGATAACTAAAAGATAGACATTAACTATGATATAGTTTTTTTTCCCTGAATTTCCTCTTTCCCCTTGCTCTTTAGTGTTATGTCAACGATGAATGTTTTTTGTTATAGACACAATTTTTTTCTAGTTTCTCTCTTTCAGTCTATCGTTTTTTCACTCTACTCTTTCATGTTCGCCCTATTCTTTCTGTCTACCTTTTACATTTCTCTCTACCAATCTTTTTATTCGTAGTCGACTGTATTCCGATTGATGCCCTCTACTTGTCTGTTATTATTATCTATGACTGTATACTAGATGATGGGTAATTCCTTAGAGGATTATAGGGCGTCAATCGGAAGGTTCAATGGTAGTACCTACTCGTTTATGTCCTCATTTAAAATACTTTTGAACTCAGCATATTTCTTTTTATTTCTTTTAACATTACTTAAACATATGATCTATATACATTCAATATGGATTTCCCAACATGTTTATCATTGTCTAGATATATGTCTATCCGGTTTCCATAGTGCTGATTTTCCCTCTCTATTTATTACCTTAATTCTAAGTGGTGATGTTGAAACAAACCCTGGTCCTAACAATCATGGCGACTTTGACTTGAGTTTACTCCACTTAAATACTAGAAGCATTAGACATAAAAATTCTTTTCTCGATTCTTTCATCAGTGATTTTGACATTTTGTGCTTTTCGGAGACATATCTAGACGATTCAGTCGTAATTGATTCTCTTACTATTTCTGGCTATTCCACTTTTATACGTAAAGATAGAAATGCTTTTGGTGGTGGTGTTCTTATATATTTTTCAGATTCCATAAAAGTTTGTCGTAAGCGTGAGTTTGAACCTGCAACTCTAGAATGCATCTGGGCGGAAGTCATGTGCCACAATAGACGCATTATGATTGGTTTATTTTATAGGCCACCAAACTCCACTAACTCTTTCTATCAAAATTTCGAGTGGTGCATTGAGTCTGTCTCTGATTATTGTTCTGATATAGTTATCCTTGGCGATTTTAATGTTGATTTGTTACGCAGAAACAATAAGTTAGATACATTAGTAACCAACTATCATCTAGTAAAAATTAATACCGAGCCCACTCGCGTAACCACTAACACAGCTACACTTTTAGATCCTATATTTATTTCTTTTGATATTAAATGTCTCGATAGTGGGACATTCAGTGTAGACTGTAAGTGATTATAAAGCGACTTTTATAATTTATCATTTTCTTATAATTGTAATCATCTTACGAAAGATTTGTGTGGAATTATAATAGAGCAGACTACGTTGGCCTTAATGGTTCATTATCAACAGTAGATTGGCATGATTTAATTACTAATGCAGCTTCTATCGATTGTGCTGTTTCCAACTTCACTAGGCAATTTTTAGATCTGGCTAGAATCTTTATACCAAATTCTACAGTTACTATCCGTCCCTCCGACAAACCCTGGTTCGATTCGGCTTCACGTAAATCCTGTCGTATAAGGGACAGACTCAAACAAAAGGCATTACGTTCTAAACGCCAAGATGACTGGTCTTCATACAGGGGTATGAGAAACAGAGTAAATAATATGAAAAAGAAGGCCAAGGCCGATTTCTTCTGTAATTTGGAATCACGTGTCTCTACGGCAAAAGCTGAAAATCCTCGTGCTTTTTGGCAAATTCTTAACAGCTTTTTCTCTTCCTCTCCTCGCTCTATTCCTCCCCTAGAATATATTGTTAATGGTTTAACCAAAATGGTATTTAGTGACCAGGAAAAGGTAGAAATCCTCAATAATTACTTCACTTCTGTTTCCAGTACTGATGATTCTAATACAAATCTGCCAAACTTCGTCAGAAAATGTATTAATTCACTTTCTAGTTTCATGATCGAAGAAAAAGATTTTTATGATACTTTATTCTTGATATAGGGAAAGCTGTTGGTCCTGACAGGATTAGTCACCGCATGTTAAAAGCTACAGCCAGAACTATTTCACAATCCCTTACATTATTATTTAATAGGTCTCTAAGGGATGCTGTTTTCCCCTCGGAATGGAAAAAAACCCATGTTTTACCAGTTTTTAAAAAAGGAGATGCTCATGTTCCTTCAACTTATAGGCCTATTTCTTTGCTAAGTTGTTTGTCAAAAATTATGGAAAAATGTGTTTTTAAACATATTTTTAACTTCGCTAGAGATAACAATATTTTTTACAAGTATCAGTCTGGTTTCCTTCCCGGCCACTCCACAGTCTATCAGTTAATAGAAATGTATCACAGTATTGTTAGATCACTGGATAGTAACGAATATTCTTGCGTTGTATTTTGCGATTTGTCCAAGGCATTTGACAAAGTCTGGCACAAGGGTCTCTTGTTTAAACTCCGTCAGTATGGAATAGATGGAGTGTTACTATCCTGGTTGGAAAATTACTTAACCAATAGATACCAGTCTGTTGTATATGGAAACAATACTTCTTCTTTTAAGCCGGTCAGGGCTGGGGTACCTCAGGGTTCTGTACTGGGTCCCTTGCTGTTTCTATTTTACATTAATGACCTAGCTGATTCCATGAATACTTTTATGAGATTATTTGCTGATGATTCTTCTCTTCAAAAATCATCTGCTTCATTAGAGGAAATTGAAGTTGCCCTTAATCAGGATCTAGGTCGTCTTCAAACTTGGTCTGACCAATGGCTTATGAAATTCAATCCTGCTAAGACGGAGGCTGTTATCTTCTCTCCTAGAAATAACCCTGCCAAACCAAACTTGGTATGCAATGGCGAACCCATTGAATTCAAAGATTCGCATCGTCACTTGGGTATAACCTTTAGCAGTAATTGCAAATGGAGTGACCATGTTAACCTCCTAATTAAAACTTCTTCTCTAAAAGTGTGTGCCACGAAAACACTTAAGTACAAGGTAAATAAGTCTACTCTTAATACTATTTATATATCGTTTATTAGGCCCATTCTTGAGTACGCCTCTTGTGTTTGGAATGGCTGTTCGGAACACTTGTCCGACTCATTAGAAAAAGTCCAGTTAGAGGCTGCACGGATCGTTACTGGTCTCACATCCGTAGCGTCCCGCAAGTCTTTATATCGTGAAACAGGTTGGATTTCTTTCAAACAAAGAAGAGAGGAATCAGAATTGACTATGTTTTACAAAATACACAATAAGATTGCCCCTTCTTACTTGGTTAATCTACTATCTCCTATCAGACGTGAGTTAAATATTGAATTAAGAAACCCTGAGGATTACCAAATACCCCACAATCGTCTAAATATTATGAAAAAATCTTTTGTGTCGTCGTCTATAAATTTGTGGAATAAAGTAGATAATTCTGTCAAAGCCTCTCCGTCTTTAAATATCTATACTCTGGTAACCGTTTCCTTTCTGTTATACATTGTCGAATAAGGAACAACTGTAGTGGATTACGCTCAGATTTATTTAGAGTGGGAATTTGTCAATCTCCAAATTGCTCTTATGGAGTTGTCGTTGAAGATGCAAGTCACTATTTTCTTTCGTGCCCTTTATTTTCTAATTGTAGACGTATATTGTTTGATACTTTATATGACCTAGACGTGATTTTTAACGTAGAAACCTTATTATGGGGTGATATTAACTCTTATTCATATCAAACTAATTGCGGAATAGTAAAATCAGTTCAAACATATATCCAACAGTCCAAACGATTTGATGCTACCTGAATCTTTACTAATGCAGTCGTCCATGAATCTCTCTCTCTCTCTCTCTCTCTCTCTCTCAACTCCTGATTTTACAGCATTATGGATCCACAAACTGATTTAAACATGAAATCTATAATTCTGTATTTTTATGTTTATTGTACGAATATATGTCACGTGTTGTAATATATTATCTGTACTGTATTTGTGGAGAAGAGTTTATAAGTTGTAAGAACTTGTCTCTTATCCATTTGTCTTTTGTCGACAATAAAATATGTTTAAATCAACTATGATATAAGCATTAGGGCATCTTATTTTAACGCCAAGTCCTTTTGATAGACGGTACGATGAATGAAGATGATGAGAGAGTCTAAATAGCCTTACAGTATACAAACTTTAGTGTGGACAAAATGTTCTTTATTATCGGAAATTTAAGTTAAAAGCAATAAAATGATACTTTGAAAATTCAATCAAAAAAGGAAAAAGAAGTATTCCGTTTCATGTCAGTTGTCTGTGAAGAGAACCCTTTTCAATGTTTTTTTTATATAACGGCGTAAATTTCAATCATCACACAAAACCAATTTTACAGTATTATGTTTTTGTGATCTAGTGATTTAATTGTAATATACAATAGAAAAGTTGCTACCGATAAGTATTATTTCTTTAATTGAAGTCGGTATATACACACGTTGTTCATTCTTTTCTTTTTTTTTATTATTATTAATTTTTGAGCATGTAAAGTTTTCCCAAAAAAACTTATAAAACCTGGTAAATGTATCACGTCACTGTCAGACATAGCAGCAATGAGAAGTGAAAACGTCTGTGTAGCTTTAGGTTCCGAAGATGAATGATGGATAAAACAGGGATTACACAAAAGTACGAGGCATCCCAAATGAGGAACATAAAATACAGGACCGTTTATTATTATTATATGTACTTACGATTTATACTGACTGCTATTGTTTCAAGATTACACAACGATTCATTCCGCGAAGGTTTTGATTTGTTTTTCAGAAATCTTCACCTTACGGAGGTAAAAATGGTCCCTACAGAGACAGCCAATCACGTCAATAGTAGCAACAATGTGACAACGACAGAGGCTCCCGCCGCGTGTCCGAACTTCCGGATCAGAAATATTGGACTTCTAACTGTGATTGATACAATCAAAAACGTTTGTCAGTTGTAAGTCCTGTTACCTCTATTTGCTGATCTATAAAGAATACGTGGTCAGGGTGTTTAAGTGTAAGGTGTATTTTGGTGAGGGTAACGAAAGACAGCTACTTTTGTCTTTCAGTCCAGAGCTAATTTCAACAGTGTTGTTGTTCAATCTTGACCTGAGTGTTACGCTCATTTTTTTCTGATTATATACACAAAAATAATTGCTCCGCGCAGAAATATAGTTCCAAACTTCAGTGGACAAAAAAGCAATTTGATGGGTTTTTTTATGTATTTCAGTAAAAAAAACATCTTTTACAATATAAATAATTGCTGATATAGATACTTAGTTATATTCTTTAAGGTAATATCTAAGTAAATTATGGCAGTAATTATGTCGAATTAATGTGCTGTTTTCTGTCGCTGCCGAATACGTCAGATCTTTGTATCAGGTGTATTCCGACCACGGAGCGCCTGTTACAGGATACACATTTTCATCTGTTTTTTCAGTAGCGTTTTGGGGAGTATTTTATTAGAGTTTTCATCCTTAATACATATTTATGAGCCAGGAAGACCCACTACACCCGACCTTTGATTTGTTGTAGGGCTGTCGGAGTAGACAGGATCAAGGTTGATACGACAAGTCCGAGGAGGCGTGACCGGTACGTGCACGCTTTATTTCCTGCCATTTTAAAAATAAGAGTGGAGGAGGGCGGGGCCAAATAGTGTATTTTTAATGTTTGTCCGTCATTTCCCGTCGTCCTTTCTAACTTCTGCAATTTTTTCAATAATATCAGAAGCTCTATCTATCTGACAGTTATGTCTGTCTTATAGCTTCGTTCCAATACCAATGAAGGGGAGATAACAATGTAGATACACTGACAAATATTAACATGTTTATCTTGATAATCTGCCACACAATAGATCTACCACATCGATCTAATATGATAAAATCACAGATTTCCAAGTGTTAAGTTAAATTTGTGATGGGCACATTTGTAAATATTTATTCTATTTTTTCCCTTTTTCTGATTTTTTTTTTTTTCATTATGACATCACGTTTTTATGATGTTTTTTCCACAGGTTTGATTTTGTTCCTGTATTTCGATATCTAGAGGAGGACCTTTTTTAGGAGGAGGATAATGTTGGATCAACGACAAGAAGCAGAATCTCTTGAGAAAGTCAATCCTACACTTTTGTATCTAAAATGCACGAAGGGAGATAACCGTATCCCTCTTGATGAACAAAGCAAAAGAGGTCTGTCCAAGGGACATAAATCTCATGATCTTCAAGGTTTAATCTCTCGTGATGATTACAACGTTTGGAAAACAATCACATCACGTGCAAGCACAAAATTGGACATTCACAGTTCAATTATTTAACTTAACGACACCTTTTTGAAGCTTTATGTACAGTTCATCATGGTAGGAGATAGTGGCGATACATTTCGTTAAATGTTCTGTTAATATCATGACGTCACGATGGTCGAAATTGAAAACTAGATTTTATTTTCTCGATTTGATCAATGCAGTCACATTAAACGGTATATGTATATGTATATATCTATATTTCATTGTAAGCAAGCGATCTTTCAGCCATTTTAATCAATTTGCTGTCACCATCTCATCTTTATATGAATATGGCGTCATGATTGTTACATGAGTTTGGATTCTTACAGCTCGACACTTTTCTTTCGATATTTCTGAACATTTTTTGGACTGGTAATGTCAATAGAATAGAAGTTCTTATAACACAACCAGTAGAAGATTAGAGTGTGACGTTTCGATGACTACACAGTCACCTTCATCTTATAACATAACCAGTAGAAGATTAGAGTGTGATGTTTCCATGACTACAAGGTCACATTGTAGTTCTTTTAACACAACCAGTAGAAGATTAGAGTGTGATGTTTCTATGACTACACAGTCACCTTCATCTTATAACACAACCAGTAGAAAATTAGAGTGTGACGTTTTTGATGACTACACAGTCACCTTCATCTTATAACACAACCAGTAGAAGATTAGAGTGTGACGTTTTTGATGACTACACAGTCACCTTCATCTTATAACACAACCAGTAGAAAATTAGAGTGTGACGTTTTTGATGACTACACAGTCACCTTCATCTTATAACACAACCAGTAGAAGATTAGAGTGTGATGTTTCCATGACTACACGGTCACCTTATAGTTCTTATAACACAACCAGTAAATATGTGTATATATAAGACATCAATAATAAATGAAAGTTGAAAACTAGCTTCCATTTTGTTTATTAATTTCCTAAGAGCGATCAGCATCAGTTTTAACGTATCGAACTCTGTGTATATAGGATCTGATATGTGACTTATGAAACGAGTATTCAGATTTTTAATTTTCCATTTTGGAGAGCTAAAAGAAAAGTAAAGAAACCAGGAAAAGAAAAAAGGCGAGTTTCATAACCGATCTATTAATGGGACTCAAAGTTTCTTTTTACCGCTCGGTCGATGTATTTAGGCACGAACAGAAATTTCTAAATCAGTCTCAAATACTTTTAGCTTTTAACCTATGATATCCATTGTTACGTCACAATGCAATCTGTGTGTGACGTCATTCGGTGATCTTACCTGACGTCACTTTAGATAATATGACACGTGTTAGATGTATCCACTGGAAAACAAAGTAGTCATGTGATAGATATTTTATATAAACGTAATCGCGTGTACAGAGACACGAGCCGGCAAATATGTATTGATGTGTTTAACTTGTTTGTGCTATTTCAGCTACATGTGTAGCTATATATTTAGTTAGCATTGCATATTTAATGTATTCATATTAAGGTCAAAAAATAAAGTTGATGTTAATAAAAAAAGTGTTGTGTTATTTTCAGGTATATACCAACACATATATTGATAACGGCAGTGTCTGAAGAAAAACAAATTTGACAGATTTACAAAAACTACAGCTGTTTTCCCATCACTGCGGCAAAAATTAAGTAACCAGATTTTATCAGTCAGTAACAGCAGCAAAAATAGGATAGTAGAGTTGTATTTTACATAAACAAGCACATGTACTTTGTGGTTTTTTAAACATGAATATATTTGATATTTATACTAGAGTATAGCTTAATCATGTATTTTGATGTTTCTTAACATGAATATATTTGATATTTATACTAGAGTATAGCTTAATCATGTATTTTGATGTTTCTTAACATGAATATATTTGATATTTATACTAGAGTATAGCTTAATCATGTATTTTGATGTTTCTTAACATGAATATATTTGATATTTATACTAGAGTATAGCTTAATCATGTATTTTGATGTTTCTTAACATGAATATATTTGATATTTATACTAGAGTATAGCTTAATCATGTATTTTGATGTTTCTTAACATGAATATATTTGATATTTATACAAGAGTATAGCTTAATAATGTATTTTGATGTTTCTTAACATGAATATATTTATACTAGAGTATAGCTTAATCATGTATTTTGATGTTTCTTAACATGAATATATTTGATATTTATACTAGAGTATAGCTTAATCATGTATTTTGATGTTTCTTAACATGAATATATTTGATATTTATACTAGAGTATAGCTTAATCATGTATTTTGATGTTTCTTAACATGAATATATTTATACTAGAGTATAGCTTAATCATGTATTTTGATGTTTCTTAACATGAATATATTTGATATTTATACTAGAGTATAGCTTAATCATGTATTTTGATGTTTCTTAACATGAATATATTTGATATTTATACTAGAGTATAGCTTAATTATGTATTTTGATGTTTCTTAACATGAATATATTTGATATTTATACTAGAGTATAGCTTAATCATGTACTTTGCGGTCTTTATAAATTGATATATCTTGTCTTAGTGTATAGCTTACTCTGTGTTGACATCATTGGTACCTCTTACAGATGTTTATCAACAGTTGTTATGTATCATTAGTTATTTACTTTGTGTAAAGCAGTGATATTTATTTATTTATCATTAATTGAAAAACAGCGTCTGGTCCACCTTAATCGAGGGTTACTTAATTTTTGCCACATTTCGTCAGTGATGGGAAAACAGCTGTAGTTTTTGTAAATCTGTCAAATGATACGCTCAATAGACTTGTAAAATTTGTCTTTCTTCAGACACTGCTGTTATCAATATACATGTTGGATAGGAACGAACGAAGTAATAAAACCGACATATTTCCGGAAAGGAACGAACGAAGTAATAACACTGACATATTTCCGGATAGAAACGAAGTAATAAAACCGACATATTTCCGGATAGGAACGAAGTAATAAAACCGACATATTTCCGGATAGGAACGAACGAAGTAATAAAACCGACATATTTCCGGATAGGAACGAAGCAATAAAACCGACATATTTCCGGATGGGAACGAAGGAAGTAATAAAACCGACATATTTCCGGATAGGAACGAACGAAGCTATAAAACCGACATATTTCCGGATAGAAACGAAGTAATAAAACCGACATATTTCCGGATAGAAACGAACGAAGTAATAAAACCGACATATTTCCGGATAGAAACGAAGTAATAAAACCGACGTATTTCCGGAGAGGAACGAAGTAATAAAACCGACATATTTCCGGATAGGAACGAAGTAATAAAACCGACATATTTCCGGATAGGAACGAAGGAAGTAATAAAACCGACATATTTCCCGATAGGAACGAAGTAATAAAACCGACATATTTCCCGATAGGAACGAAGTAATAAAACCGACATATTTCCCAATAGGAACGAAGTAATAAAACCGACATATTTCCGGATAGGAACGAAGTAATAAAACCGACATATTTCCGGATGGGAACGAAGGAAGTAATAAAACCGATATATTTCCGGATAGAAACAAAGTAATAAAACCGACATATTTCTGGATAGGAACGAACGAAGTAATAAAACCGACATATTTCCGGATAGAAACGAACGAAGTAATAAAACCGACATATTTCCGGATAGAAACGAAGTAATAAAACCGACATATTTCCGGATGAACGAAGTAATAAAACCGACATATTTCCCGATAGGAACGAAGTAATAAAACCGACATATTTCCGGATAGGAACGAAGTAATAAAACCGACATATTTCCGGATGGGAACGAAGGAAGTAATAAAACCGATATATTTCCGGATAGGAACGAAGCTATAAAAAATGAAAAACTTTTTTAAAAAAATACAAAGTATGTTCGATCAGACAGGCAAAACTTTTTTAAATATGCGAATAAAAATAGTTACCAGATGGAATTGCATTCGATGCGTAATCTTAATCTCCTAAACTTTTTTTTATCAATGTCCTTATTTGGAAACATTTCTTCTAGAAACATTTTATTTTTAGCTCACCATCATCAGATGTGGTCCGGTGTCCGTCCGTTCGTATGCAATTTTATCCCTGTTTCTTGAGAAGTACTGGATGGATCGTTCTCAAATGTCATTTTAGGATACCCATCCCTAGCTGTGTGTACTGGATGTACTGATTAAACGAGTTAAGAGTCGATGGTCTGCTATCTCGGATTTAAACCATACAGTATGAAAGTTTGCTATCCCCTGAGAAGTGCTGGACGGATCTGTCTTAAGTGTCATTTTTAGAATACCCATTTGTTCCTACTTGTGCTTATCTGTTTTTGTGATTGATTATTAAAGAAGATGGCATATAGTCGGCCATCTTGGACTTAAACTATTTTTTGAAAAGTACTCAATACAACTTTCTCAAATTTTCATTTAGTTTTCTTAGATGTGCCAATTTCATTTTGTACAGATCAGAAAAAATGGCTGACAGTCGGCCATCTTGTACATTTTTAGTTTTCCGTTGAACCATATAGTTTTAAAACAAGTGGAAAAACAAAATCTCTGAAAGACGAACATCTTGGATTTTGACAAAGTTTCATCAATGATGCAGAAGAGTCGTGTCCATGATTTCCCATTCTGGTGGGTATATACATTGAACAGGATCAAGAAATATCGTGGTAGATAAAGTCATTACGTTATCAGTAGGGAAAGGAAGTGGAAAGAATCCTTAGATTCAAAATTAGAGTAGAAACTAATAATGACGTGAAACAGCTGCTTTTCTTTCTAGGACTCATCAGAGATACCAAGGGCTTTGATTTAGAGATGTAAGAGACGAGGGAGAGGAAAATTAGATAAAACAAAATGTGTTTTTGACACGAACTATCCATCTAGTAAACTATAATGAGAACAGGGAAGAGTATGCGTCATTCGCACTACCTAGTGTAGACAGCAGGTGTACATTCTAGGCAATCTGTAATCCTTGGTTGTCATGTTATATAGGTCAGTATTAACACTGATAGATAGTAAAACTCATCAAACAGGCTCAGCTTTCTGTTTTAATATATAAAAATGAGGTGATTACAGATCACAATAAAGTTGAACTTGGTGACCTTTGCTCAATATTGACCCGAGTTAAAGATGTTCGGAACTCGTTACCTGTATGGTGTCTTATAACGAATATTGACATTCGGAATTACTTCGCCTCCAAATTTCGCTTTTTTCGATAAATATGAAAATTTTGTGTCGCTTCCTGGGTTTTACGATCTGGTTCACTGATTGAACATCACTGACGAGTTCTAGAAGGAGATAACACACTTCTGATGCATTTCAATTACTGTATCTGATTCTAAATTTGTCTTCAAAAATTTTATACAATTATCGGCCTTATATTACAGTCTTGGATTTAAAGATTACAAGATTGTAATAATCAGAAGATAAATATTAAATAATTTATAAAAACCATGATACATCTGTCGCGTAGCAGGACACAGTTAATTTGCTTTTTTCCTAAATTATTGGTCATGTTTGAGATATACAGGTATAGCAGATTGGTTATGTAAAATACATCATTACATGTATATATATTCATAAACTACATAACAATTACATTAACAGTAGAGAGATGATTTTTTTGTTAATGAAA